ATAGGGTTTAGAAAATCAGAATTTGTGGCAAAGACTCAATTCCTTCTTTTGACTTTATACATCAGAGACTCGACAGCTATAAAAATTATGGATCAATATTTAAGACGTGTTCTTGGTTTGTGTTTCTCCTTACTAACTTAATTCTAATTTTTTGTAGCCCTATACAAAGGACATGTACAGGTGAGACTATGAAATTCTTGTTTTTATTTACAGTTTGTAAGGAGTAATAAAAAAATTCTTTTAGATTTTGCATGAGAACAAAAATTACTCTTGAAATTGAAAAATTATTCTTTTCTTTTCTTGAAGAAAAACAATATTTATCTTAGATATGAAAGTAGAATTCTGCCCATAAAACCCATAAAATCCTGTTTAAAAGCTTGAAATTATAGTTGAAAACAAATAAATTTGAGTTTGTGAATAGGGTTTTACAATTCCAGGAATATCCTAAACCAATTTTAATCCAAAATTCAGAGACTAAAAACCAATTTAGGGGCAACCACCGTGTTTTTACGTCTTTGTAAGGGGAGGGGGATATTCATTCTTTTAAAATTTTTTATGTAACTTCTATTAAATAATTTGCGAATATTTTGAATAAACTTATTTGACAATGTTGCTAGGGGTTCCACCTGAAGAGGTTTTAGCCCCTGAACTGTAATGAGTTCTGGGCAATGGTTGTGCCAATTTAGGAGTTTAGAAGTTTACTGGTTTCCACGGGTATTTACCATCGATCAGGACTCGTCACACTATTTATCTGGAGACTTTGACGGACCAAGGTCAGGAGTATACCCGGAGTAAACCTGGAATTCTAGAATTCAAATCTTAGTTTAATTTTCCAGTAATTTGGGTTCTTTCGGAGTCAATTGCAGCAGTTCCAGGGTACTTCTGTATTCTGTTGTAAAGCCTACTAATAGGTTCCTTCTGTATTATATGGCAAACCCTACTAAATGTCTCTACTGTATTTGATACACCCTACTAATAGGTCCCTACTGTAATTATTAGTATAAATTACTAATATGTCTCTACTGTATTTGGTACACCCTACTAATAGGTCCCTACTGTAATTATTAGTATAAATTACTAATATGTCTCTACTGTATTTGGTACACGCTACTAATAGGTCCCTACTGTAATTATTAGTATAAATTACTAATATGTCTCTACTGTACTTGGCAAACACTAATAATAGATCCCTACTGTATTCGGTACACCCTAATGATAGGTCCTTACTGTATTCGGTACACCCTAATGATAGGTCCCTACTGTATTCGGTACACCCTTCTTATGGATCTCTACTGTATTCGGTACACCCTAATGATAGGTCCCTACTGTATTTGGTACACCCTTTTTATGGATCCATACTGTATTCGGTACATCCTACTAATTGGTCCCACCTGTATTCAGTATACCCTACTAACAGGTCCCTACTGTTTTCAGTAGTTCCTACTACTAGGTCCCTACTTTAATTGTTACACCCTACTAATAAGTCCCTAGTTATTTAGAATACCCTACTAATAGGTCCCTATTGTATCCAGTACACCCTACAAGTAGGTCCCAACTGTATTTAGTAAACCATACAGATAAATCCTTACTTATGTCTGTTTCTCTTACCAATAGGTCCGTACTGTATTTAGTACACTCTTTTAATGGATCCCTACTGTATTTAGTATATCCTACCTATAGGTCCCTACTGAATTTAGTATACTACTGTATTCGGTATAGCATACAAATAGGTCCTTACTGTATTTAGTACACCCTACTAATAGGCCCCTACTGTATTCGGTATGTCATACAATAGGTCCCTACTGTATTTTTAAAACCTTCTAATAGGTCCTTACTGTATTATGTACACCCTAATAATAGCTCCCTACTGTATTAAGTAAACCCAACTAATAGCTCCCTCCTGTATTCTTTAAAACCTTCTAATAGGTACCAACTGTATTTAGTATAACCTACTAATAGGTCCCTACTGTTGTCTGTATAGCCTACTAATAGGTCCCTACTATATTTGATACACCCTACTAATAGGTTCCTACTGTTGTCTGTATAACCTACTAATAGGTCCCTACTATATTTGATACACCCTACTAATATGTCACTAATGTTGTCTGTATAAAATACTGAGAGGTACCTACTGTAATTGGTACACCTTAATAATAGGTCCCTGCTGTATATCCTACTATTAAGTCCCTACTTATAGGTCCCTACTGTATTTGGTACACCCTACTAATAGGTCCCTACTGTATTCGGTACACCCTACTAATAGGTCCCTACTGTATTCAGTAGATCCTATTAATAAGTCCCTACTGAATTCTGTATACCCTACTAATAGGTCCCTCATATATACTATATATCCTACTGTATCCAGTAGATCCTATGTTAACAAGGTAGGATCTTTACGTTGATATTAAGAGCAACTAGCTATGTAGGATGTTTATCAATATAAATTTAAAATAGCAATCTTTGTTTGTCTGTCTGTTTGTATGTTCGATCATAACTCATGAACCCCTTGACAAACAAACTGAGTTTTTACCTCACACTCTGATTTTTAATTCTATAGATTTGCAACCCGATGTAATAGACCTTTGATATTCAAAACTAAAAAATTTATTTGATCTATCAGAATTCATATCTCAGGTCTACGATATTGCATGGTGCAAAGAATTAGTGATTATAACATCAGATTTTGACGCAAAGACTCAACTTATTTTCGTGAGATTTGTATTGAAAAACTCGGGAAAATCACGGGAAACTTTCTTAATCTTGGTTAAAAAATTCCAAGTTGAGTGAGTTGACTTTTGAAGCGAGCACTTAGTGTCCAGGTAGAGCTGGGTTTCTTTGCTAGTCTGTTATAAACCGAAACTGTTACATAATAATTGTAACATTATCAAAGTCCTAATGGCCTCAGATTTCCAACGACACCAAATTTTCAAATGTGTGGAAAAATATTTTACGAGTTATGTAAGTCATGTAACAATTTAGAGTTGTTTTAAAGGGAGTGTTCGCGAAAAATGAAAGGGGGTATAGGCTTAATGTGATAAAAAAGCGCTTTTGATTGCTACTAATCTTACTTCTATCTGTTGCGTCTATAAGGAGAAAATTGTTAGAAACGACTCACACGGAAGAACGCAGCGCCCATACAAATTCGGAAAGATGCAACATTCAACTCGGATCGTAAACAAATCAATTTAATTCCAAACAAATCATTCAGATATTACAAACAATAGTCATCGGTTATTTTTCGACGCATTCATATATAGTTAATATTTCATAATATTTTTGATTTTGTTTTTTTAGATTAATTTTCGCTGGCGCTGGATTTTCGAACATTCCTGGAAAATATGAAAATGTCGTCTTCATTATCAAAAATCCTCGAAACAGGAAAAAATGTAACTCTCAAATCATGAAAAATACAAAATATTAAGAAATATCAACTATTTACGAATGCGTCGAAAAATAATCGATGACTATTGTTTGTAATATCTGGATAATTTGTTGGGAATTAAATAGATTTTTTTACGATCCAAGTTGAATGTTGCATCTTTCTCAATTTGTATGAACACTACGTTCTTCGGTGTGAGTCGTTTTTAACAATTTTCTCCTTATAGACGCAACAGATAGAAGTAAGATTAGTAGCGATCAAAAGCGCTTTTTTATCGCATTAAGCCTATACACCCTTTCATTTTTCGCGAACACTCCCTTTAATCTATTGAATAAAACCAGACATTCGTATATATATATATATATGTTGCCTATAGATGGCCTAACGGCTAGACCGATTAGGCTGAATTTTTTTTGTGGATACTCATGGGTGGCCGGGTGTTACGTTACAGGATAAAAAATTTCGAAATGTTTTTTTTTCAAATTTTTAATTTTCTTTTCAATTTTTTTTTGTTTTCCGCGAACAACGCCCGGCCTTCCAATGTATCATAAATTATCTTTTCTGAACACAAAGCAAATGAAAAAAGTCAAAAATATATTTCTATCTCTTGTATTCTTATTTTCTTGTTTTCTAAAATATTTTTAAGTTAATGTAAGGATAGGACTGTACATAATTACAGGGTGAAACCTCCGATTTACTAAACCCTCATTCATCCCCCTTCAATATATATATATTCTTAACCGAAATTTGGAAAAAACAGACAAAATTGCTCAAAATTTGTTTTTAGAGGAAATAATAAAAGTAAAGGGGTTCATGTTAGACCAACTTGTTAGACAATTCACCTATTCATTCATTCATTCATTCATTCATTCATTCTTCAGTCGATACAAAAATAGAAAATATTTAAATCAAGGTTTTTAAAGCTTTTTTTTGTTTTTCTGTTTTTAATATTTAAGTTACAGAAAATTAAATCAATTTTGGAATTGACGTATAGTAACAATTATACCTCTTTTGTCCTTTTATAGCTAACATTTTTCGGTAGGAGCATGACTAAAATAATAATGTTTTTAGTTGAAACTATTATGTTACACCTAACATTAATAATAAATAATTTTAAGGCGGCCAAATGTAAAGGGGAGTTAAATAAAAGTTCCAAAAAGATGTTTTTCGCAAAACTTTCATTTTTCTTCTAAATTATTCAACCTAAATAATTAAATTATTAAAATCTAAAACTTGAAAATATATTTTACGCTACCGAATAAATTTCTAATTTCTAATTTTTATCATCATGAAGGCAAAATTTGTTTCTCTCTCAAAACCAAATATTTTACAACTTTCCAAAGTCGAACTACTTTTTTTCAATAAATAGGAACCTTATTTGAAATCTTAATCTTTCAAATTGTTTTTACAATTTGATTATGTAATTTTTTCTCTTTTCTGCTTTGACAAAAAATTACGTCTAATTTTCAAATTTTATTCTTAAAACTCGATTACTATTTCTAATATTTGAAATATCTAACGTCTGCGTTATTGGGTTCCAAATATAAATTGATTTAAAAATCTGAGTTTGTGGAAAAGACTCAATTTCTTTACAGTTTGATGCTATTAGTTTTTTGTACAATTCTTTCCTTAACCGGCGGAAGCAAAACACGTTCCACAAGATTTCTTGCAGCTTAGTCCAATGTTATCCTGGTTGCAATAATTAGTGAGATCTGGGCAGTTTGTGTACTTGTCGTAGCAGGTATAGGAGGCTACTGGAGTCATACCATCACACAATCCACAAGCTTCAGCACAATCCTGAGCAATGGATGGTTGCCAACAGTATCCAATCGCCAAATCCTTGCAGTTTGAATACTTGTTCAGACAAGGTTTCTTGGTGGTTAGAGGAGCATCTGTAGCTCCGCTGGTTTTCTCACAAGACACAGCAGCCAGAGATTTTCCAATCCCACACATAGACACTCCTCGTTGCATCCTGATATATCCTCCCTCTCCCCAGTCTGGTCCCCAGCTGTTCTTGATCAACCAGTAGTCCAACCCGTTCTCAGATCCGTATCCGACCACAAGGATTGCATGATCGGTTTTAGTTTCTCCGGCAGGACATCCAGCAAAGATTCCTCCCTTGTAATCTGAGAATGGACCTGTAGACATAACGCTAGCTACAACTGATCCGTGTTTATAAACCAACTGCTTCAATAGTTCCTCGTCTCCAGAGTATGTGTACACAGAGCCAGATATTTTTGCTCCTAGATTATAAGAAGGAAGGTTTGCAGGGCAGACGAGTGAAGATTTCTCTGCTAGGTATGGATACTGGGACTCATGAGCCAAATCAATCTTTTTATCTGAAGCCCACTTGAGGTAAGCATGAGGAGCAGCTCCATCACAACCAAAAGCGTTTTCATTGTCATAACCGCAATCTAAAAACTGCTGTTCAGAGTAATCTCCGATAGCTCCAGCTGCTTTCTTAATACAGACTTCTACAGCTCCCATATTGGAGAAAGCAACACAGGATCCACACTTCAGCTGGTTCTTTACAGGAGATACATGACCTGAACAAAACAAAAGTAAAAACATCATTCTTTACTAACTAGGGATATATGTATTTGAGTCCTTCAATTTAAAGTCACGTTTTGGTCTATAACTTTGCTATCTTAAAACTTACAGAGCTGTCTTCTACTACTTTTTCATTAAAACGGACAAAAAGATAAATAAAAAACATTTAATTGGTTACATTGGAATCGAAAGTGACAGCTTTGTGGTACTGTACTAGGATCGAACCGTTAATTCAGTGTGATGTGATCAAAATATTACCCAGAGCTTTAGAGTCGTAGGCAGCAGGAACTGAAGCCCTGTCTAATCTGAGTTTAGCAAAGTATATTTCAGATTGGTTGTCAACCCTGTACTCGGGAGAAGGTTCTAGAAGTCCTCGTCCAAACTGTGATCCGTCCAGAGATCCTGTTCTCTCATGTTCAAACTCATCTTCTGGAAGATCGGAGAACTCGTTCAAGGCATCAAACCAGGTGATCTCTCCAGCAGCGTATTCTTCATTGATCTTTCTTATTTCCTTCTCATTCTCTTCCAGAGCTTTATTTCTTCGTTCATATTCTGCAGAATCTACTGGAGCAAGATGGTAAAATTCTTCAAATTCCTTCTCATCAATCTTGTCCAGAGGTTCCAGATCTGTAGGGTCTGCGTCCTGTGCTGTAGTAAGCCCCCAGAGAAGGATGGACGAAAACAGTACAAGCACTTTCATGTTTGCACTAAACTTGCTTGATTGATGAAATCCGGGACCTTCCAACTTCTTATACTCCGACAATCTGATCAAGTGTTTAAGTAAAATCAATTCTCTTGTTTACTCAAATATTGTTACAAAAGAAAATTGCGAAACCTGATAATGCAGCAGACAGATCAAATATTTATACATATTAAGATAGAAAAGTGCTTTTAACCACAATAACAATAATAAAAGGAATCATAGATTTATATAATACAAGACAACATATATAAAGTTTACAAAAAACACAAATTAAATTTATATTTATAAATCTTTATCCTACAGTTCTTGTTCACAATTTCAACATTTTCATCCTTGTTTATTCATCGCCCGTAAATCCATTGTGGTCACTTTTAATTTGAGGATACATGCTTAATCTTTTAATTTGAGGATACATGTTTAATCTTTTAATTTGAGGATACATGCTTAATCTTTTAATTTCAGTTATTCCTCCCTTAATGAAAGCTCCTTTCAACCCCTGACTGGGTCCGATACCATGCAGGATAGCGTAAAGTTTAAATTAATCAGCAGATTAACAAAAGATCATCTTATATCGGGGAAAAAGCCCTTACTAAATAGAACCTTTCTATCAACACCCATCGAATTAAACATGTTAGATTTTTAAAACTTTGAATTCCAAAACAACAAAAAGTGGTAAAAACACGAAAAAATTACATTTAACGGTTAAAGATGGGATCAAAACTAGTAAATCTGAATATTTAATCTAAAGAAGAACGAGCATTATATAATTTATTCGTCAAAGAGCCGCAAAAAGAATCACCAAAACCAAAAGAAATTAAAAAATCTTATTTCTGAGAAAAATGAAGGAGAAAAGGCGAATTCCTTGAATAATCCCGAAACTACATATCCCTATATTTTGTCCTCCTAGTCTTCTATATATCCGTCTAACTATATCCCCTTCTAGCTTCTTACCTTATGAAAATTTGCTGACCGGTTCCCCATAAAATAAATCCGTTTCCCCCATTCCAGTGTCAAAAAGGAACATAAAGGAGGGTATAAAGCCGTGTTAAAGGCCTCTTCCGAGAGAGATGGGAGACAATACATCCATAGGCTTACTTCCACACTTCATTATCTATCTATCTTATTTCCACACTTCATTATCTATCTATATTACTTCCACACTTCATTATCTATCTATCTTACTTCGACACTTCATTATCTATCTATCTTACTTCCACACTTCATTATCTATCTTACTTCCATACTTCATTATCTATCTATCTTACTTCCACATTTCATTATCTATCTATCTTATTTCTTTATTTCATTATTTAACTATAAATTTCTTCTTTTATTTCTTCTATTTTTGCTTGGGTTCTGACTATTATATTTCTTTCTTTTTTCTTCTTTACTTTCTGTTTTCTCTCTTTTCCTTAATTTTATTATTTTGTACTTTCTTACAACTTTGAATGTATTTTTTTTATGAAATTACATACATATAATATCAATGTTTATTTGTTTATACATTACTGGATAAAGTGGCAACCGTTGTTAATGGAAATAAAAAGGTAATGTCCTATTATAGATATATTTATATGAGCAAAGTGTTTTAATATATAGATTCCGGGGCAACCTTTCCGGTCCCAGTTTGAACTGTATCGCCCGGACATTGGGTAGATAAAGCAGACACTCAATAGGACTAGCCGCGGTGCAACAAGGTTGACTCGGTCAGACTTTGGGTTGATTTTACTTTTACTGAAATGTCCCAGATTTACATACATACACAATATACATATATGTATGTCCTAAGTTATGTTCTATCTTAACTACGTGTTTAAAAGTTTTAATTCTAATCTTATTCCAAACATTAATCTCTGGTTTGGACCATGTAAAAAATATCTTCTCAAGATGAAGAAAATTTACAAATATCAATCATAAATTTATTTCTATCGCAAGAATTCAAATTTTTATTGAGAGTTGAAAAAAGTAAAAATAAAGAAAAATCTTTTCAGTTTTTTTTATTTTCTTTATTCTTGTTTCTCGACTCTATGCTGGAGAGAAAATTTCCATAATTAAAAGTGACAGTGATTAAAGAAACCATTTTAAAACGGAAACGACAACAACTTACCCCCCCTTCCAGATCTGTAGGGTCTGCGTCCTGTGCTGTAGTAAGCCCCCAGAGAAGGATGGACGAAAACAGTACAAGCACTTTCATGTTTGCACTAAACTTGCTTGATTGATGAAATCCGGGACCTTCCAACTTCTTATACTCCGACAATCTGATCAAGTGTTTAAGTAAAATCAATTCTCTTGTTTACTCAAATATTGTTACAAAAGAAAATTGCGAAACCTGATAATGCAGCAGACAGATCAAATATTTATACATATTAAGATAGAAAAGTGCTTTTAACCACAATAACAATAATAAAAGGAATCATAGATTTATATAATACAAGACAACATATATAAAGTTTACAAAAAACACAAATTAAATTTATATTTATAAATCTTTATCCTACAGTTCTTGTTCACAATTTCAACATTTTCATCCTTGTTTATTCATCGCCCGTAAATCCATTGTGGTCACTTTTAATTTGAGGATACATGCTTAATCTTTTAATTTGAGGATACATGCTTAATGTTTTAATTTGAGGATACATGCTTAATCTCTTAATTTGAGGATACATGCTTAATCTTTTAATTTCAGTTATTCCTCCCTTAATGAAAGCTCCTTTCAACCCCTGACTGGGTCCGATACCATGCAGGATAGCGTAAAGTTTAAATTAATCAGCAGATTAACAAAAGATCATCTTATATCGGGGAAAAAGCCCTTACTAAATAGAACCTTTCTATCAACACCCATCGAATTAAACATGTTAGATTTTTAAAACTTTGAATTCCAAAACAAACAAAAAGTGGTAAAAACACGAAAAAATTACATTTAACGGTTAAAGATGGGATCAAAACTAGTAAATCTGAATATTTAATCTAAAGAAGAACGAGCATTATATAATTTATTCGTCAAAGAGCCGCAAAAAGAATCACCAAAACCAAAAGAAATTAAAAAATCTTATTTCTGAGAAAAATGAAGGAGAAAAGGCGAATTCCTTGAATAATCCCGAAACTACATATCCCTATATTTTGTCCTCCTAGTCTTCTATATATCCGTCTAACTATATCCCCTTCTAGCTTCTTACCTTATGAAAATTTGCTGACCGGTTCCCCATAAAATAAATCCGTTTCCCCCATTCCAGTGTCAAAAAGGAACATAAAGGAGGGTATAAAGCCGTGTTAAAGGCCTCTTCCGAGAGAGATGGGAGACAATACATCCATAGGCTTACTTCCACACTTCATTATCTATCTATCTTATTTCCACACTTCATTATCTATCTATCTTACTTCCACACTTCATTATCTATCTATCTTATCAAAAATTAAATCTAATTTAAAAATGACAAATATTATTTCCAATCTCAATGTATTTTACGAACTGAAATTTAAAAAAAACTTTCTATTAACCTAAGTTATAATTAAACTGATGAGCAAAATTTACAAAACTATTTGACGGATGTATAAATAGGAATCTATTAATTTAAAAATTTAACAAAAAGTTTTGCCTCAATCTCAAACCGATTTTCTAATTCCTATAGTTTTGCAACTCAATGTCGTACATCTGTTCGATCAAATAATTTTTTGAAATATCAAAGGGTTACACACTATCAGGTTGCAAACAATATAGGGATTAGAAAATTTGAGTTTGTGGCAAAGACTCATTTCCTTTAATTTTATTAAAAATCAACTTAATAAATAGAAAAATAAGTATGGATGATAAAAGAAGAAACCAAAATATGCATGTAAATTTCTTTAAAAGATTCATGAATGAATATGACCCAGAATGTCTAGGTCTATAGTTCACACATCAACGCGTTCAAGCAATCTCTCATTCGGGACAATTCAAACATTTGCTAATTGTAAGTTTACAGCCTGTTCTTAAACCCAGTAGATACCAACATATCTGGGCTCAGAAACCCAAATTGTCAAGTAAATGGGGGGGGGGGGGGAACCGTAGACTTGTAAAACTGTCTCAAACTAGGGTAGGAGGTTTACAAGCAGTGAGAGTTTCTTTCTCTTTCTTTAGGTTTTCCGAAATGAAGAATTTCTGATTTTAGGAAATAGATTTTTTTTATCTATCCATTCAATAATTTAAAAAATATTCTCTTGTTTCTCGTAAACACAAATTCTTTTTTTTTGTATAATAGTTCATCTTGGGAACCTAAATTTGCTTGGACACTAACCTTTGAACTTTTAAACTTATACAAAAGTGTGCCCCGTGGTTTTACCGAGTTCTTAAATCAAAATTTAAGGCAAATCGGTCAAGCTAAGGGTTCCTGGGGTATTATCAGACATACAAACAGATACTACTACTTTATATTTATACAGATGCTATGCTTTCGTCCTCAACATTTTCTACATTTTTAGGTCTCGTCATTTGTTATTTTATGCTAAGAAAGTAACTGACTACTTTGACTCTGATTTTCTAATTCTTAAATCCTTGCAACCTGATATCGTCGCTCATTGACATTTCAAACTATGAATTCTTCTAGGTTAGAAAGTTAAACGTTTGAAATTTTTAATATTTAATCCATCAGGTTGAAAAGATAAAGCAAGGATTCGAACATTAGAGTCTGAGACGAGTAATTTGTTTCTTTGTACAAGATAAGTGTATTTAGTATTTTGTATGTTTATTCAATTCAAACATTAAAATCAGAAAACATCAATATTATACATTTTTGTAAAAACAAGTTCTGCTTAAATCAGAAAATATGTGTCTAATATATATTATTTAGTTTCTTAAATATATTAACTCTGATCTCCCAATATGTAAATATTATCATAGCTCCTCGAATCCGTATATCCTGGGCATGTGCTCCAGGATATATAGATAGATAGATAGACAGGTTTATGTATTTAAAGACCTAGAAGAGATATCCTGACATATGCCGGTTAGAGGATGTTTTTCTTTCACATATAAACTTTTATACTCCAGGTACTCATACAACCTTAAGTAAACCTGTCATGTTGTTCCGACCTGGTTAACAAAACAAATATTTCCTTCTCCGTGGACCGTGTCGTACTAATGACTGAGTGATCATTGGCGCCATGGTAGATTTCATCAGCAGAGTAAAAGAGAGTTCCTATTATTAGGGTAAATGCTAATTAATGAGAGCAGAATGCGAAATGAGAAATGAGGTTTTGAGGTGAGAGTACGTATGATCAGGATTGAAGTGAAAGGTTCTTTCACCCTAAATTAGGATTCAAGGGAGAAAGTCCTTTCAGTTTATATATGGATTGAAGGGATATAGTCCTTTCAGCTTATATCTGGGTTGAGGGGAGATAGTCCTTTCGGCTTAAATCAGGGTTGAAGGGAGATGGTTCTTTTAGTTTAAATCAGAGTTGAACGAAAATGGTCCTTTCAGTTTAAATCAGGATTGAAGGGAGATAGACCTTTCAGTTTAGATCAGGATTGAAGGAGTATAGTCCTTTCAGCTTAAATCAGGATCGAAGGGATATAGTCCTTTTAGTTTCAATCAGGATTGAAGGGATATAGTCCTTTTAGTTTCAATCAGGATCGAAGGAAAATGGCCCTTTCAGTTTAAATGAGGATTGACGGGATGTAGTCCTTTCAGTTTAAATCAGGATTGAAGGGATATAGTCCTTTCAGTTTTAATCAGGATTGAAGGGATATAGTCCTTTCAGCTTAAATCAGGATTGAAGGGATATAGTCCTTTCAGTTAAAATCAGGATTGAAGGGAGATGGTCCTTTCAGTTTAAATGAGGATTGAAGGGATATAGTCCTTTCAGTTTAAATCAGGATTGAAGGGATATAGTCCTTTCAGTTTAATCAGTGTTGAAGGGATATAGTCCTTTCAGTTTAAATGAGGATTGAAGGGATATAGTCCTTTCAGTTTAAATCAGGATTGAAGGGAGATAGACCTTTCAGTTTAAACCAGGATTGAAGGGAGATGATCCTTTCAGTAAATCCTTTTATTATCCGTGTTAAAGAGAGTGACTACTTCTAGTTTAGATTATAACTAAAGGGAGGGAGTACGTCTAGTTTAGATGGTAACTAAAGGGAGGGAGTACTTCTAGTTTAGATGGTAACTAAAGGGGAGGGAGTTCTTTTTGGTTAGATAGAAACTAAAGGGAGGGAGTCTTTTCATTTTAGATCGGAGTAAGAATGATTTTTTTTATTCTCTCCTTCCCGATACTACACAGTTAATCTTGTATGCTTTTTAAACAACTTTGCTACTTTGACAGGCCAGGAACCTGGAATACGTGATGAATAGTTTTAAACTTTGAAAATTAACATTCATCTCTTTCAAATATTTGGAGACACAGGTTACATTTCCTGTTTCCAGGGGATTGAGGAAAGTTTAGACCAAAGATCATGAACTAAGTTTAAAGGGAATATAGACGTGACTTCAAGTGACTCTCCGTTAAAAAAATAAGAGAGTTTTTTCCGATCCACAATAGTACCCTAACAAGCTTTGCATTTGGTAGCCATCATTTTCTCTTTGAAAAAAGGGTTATTTTCAATGTGGTTTCTCTATAACGTTTAGTGTTGATAGTTTGCTTCAGAAATAATTCAGAGAACCTTTCAAGCAAAAACATCGACGATACCTGTTATGGGTCACTTGAAATTTCCACGACAGTCACCTTAAAAATCAATAATAATACAGAGAAAAAATCTTTTTTACAAAAAAAATAATAAAAAATAAACACAAAATTAATGTTTTCTTACAATTTTTTGTAAAAATCGAAAAAGAAAAAGCATTAATGTGTGTCTCCGTTCCAAATTGAAAGGTTGTGTTTAAAAGCCTGAAAGACAGGGTTAAGAGAGATCTCAAAGGTTGAAACCCCAAGCTAGAAGTTAGGTATTGATATCTGCAGAACATGTGCTTACTTGAAACCTTGTCAAACCGAGTAAACATTACGGAGACAATTCTATTTCGTATTTTTAACATTATGTATCTTCCATTTCTTTGCTTAAAAACCGAGCAAACCTTTCTTTATGCTCCTTCTAGCTCCAAATTCCTGTATTCTTTAGCTCCGAACCTTCTACTCCATCTAGCTCCAACTTCCTGGATTCTTCAGCTCCGAACCTTCTACTCCTTCTAGCTCCAACTTCCTGGATTCTCTAGCTCCGAACCTTCTACTCCATCTAGCTCAAACTTCCTG